TGCGGCTCGGGTCCAGCGGCGGGGTAGGATGCAAGCAGAAGAGCGGGGACGACACGGGGTGCTGCGTCTCCGTCGGCAGCGCGCGCTCGTTACTCTCGCCCGGCTCGCTGGAGGCGACTGCACGATGGGGCTCCCGGCAATCCCAGATCCGCACAAGGCGTACGCATCGGCATCGACGCCGGGATGCGATGCCAGCAACCCCTCCGCGGTGCGACGCCGTTCATAGACGCGGGGTGGCCCATGCATGCTGTCGTCGGGTGCGCTGGGGACGAGGAGAAGCTCACACCCGCACCAAGGCCAGCGAGCCCTGGGCCGGAGTAGGTGCTTGATGTGAAGGAGGATTGAATAGGGCTCTGGCCGGACTCCGCATACGGCACAGAGACACCGTGCCCGACAGCGACGGTGATGCTGCTGGTGTTGGTGTTGGTGGTTGCCGTGAGGGCTCGAGCGCGAAAGCGGTGTACGGAACGGTGGTGGCGTGCCCCGACGTCGACGGGTGCGGACGCGGTGGATGGGGATTCGGACGAAGCTACATCGCGCTCACATAAATGAGTACTTACCCATTCATCAATGTGTATCATAGGACGCACGCAAATACGCCGCAATGCAGTCAGGCAGATACGCCTTCGCATGTTCGAGCGACGGCAAATAGGATCGCGCACTGGCCAGGAGCGCGCTTGCTCTTGTGTTGGCAGCCGTAACATCGTACTGACGGGCATGCGTGTGACGTGGGTGCCGTTCATTGCGTCGGCGGGGTGGCGGGGGCCGCGGCGGAGAAGATTGTTGGGACCAGATTTGTCGCCATAGTCAAGTCATGTTAACGCGCGGTGATGGATGGAATTAGAGATAAAAATCCCAAGTTTGTTGAATTTCGTGCAAGTTTGACAGAGACGCGGTGGCAGACAGACGTTGAATCCAACTTGGTGCAGTGACGAGCCGTTATAATGACTCTGGATTTGGGAGTGCGAGGGATGACTTGGGGATGACGGTAGAACTTGAGAGGGTGCGGGAAGGTGCTAGTCTAGTGCTTACCGCGGGGGTCCGATCGCAGTGCTCCCTTATTATGTAATTGCGGAGTTTGAATTGACACGTGCCACTGCGCGCTTCTTTTCCGCAGCACCAACGGCGCGTTCCTTCTCCCCCCATCGCTCAAATTTCGCCCTGTCTGTCCTCAGATACTCTCTCTCTGTCTCAGTCTACCATTCAACCAAACATGCCTGTGCCCATCAAGCTCACACCACCGCCCTGCCAGTGCTGGTACTCCGACCAATTCATACGCTGCGGCGGACGCCAATGCCTGAATGTACACGGCGGATTTCATACTCTTGAGTTATGTACTCTCTTGATTCGGACTTCGGTCGTCCCATGTGAAGATCTGGCTCTCGACGCCATATGTGAGTTTCCTTCTACGTTATTCCGGAACCAGCCCTCAAGACAAGCTGATTCTGGATTGCTAGCGTCCCTATTCAGCGGCGCCGACGCTTCCGCGTGCATACCGCGCGGGCGACGTCGGGATGTAGTAAGGAGGGGAAAGGTGCGGGAAAGGACGAAATGGCGTGCGCGCGCATTGCGTGTTGCTGATTCACACCACACCGCCGACGATCCCAACGAGCCGAATGCCCAGGGAAGCGGGAACGGGGCACGCAGGAGCGCGGGAGACCCGCTCAAACTGGCGTACACGCGTTCACGGTGCATGCTCCAATTTACTTGCATCACCGTTCGCATTCACTTACTTGCGGCTTATTCTCACACCCACACACGCCAACACCGCCTCAAAGCTCCGACTCGACACCGCCGCCGACGCCGACGCCGACGATGTGAACGCACAACAAGCACAACAATGGGTGCGGGGACGAGAGGAAAGGAGAGAGACGAAGGGAATGGCGCGGGCGCGAGATCCCGCTGCAAGGTGCGTACTCCGCACCCTCTCCCTTGACTCACTCACCATACCGCCACGTCGTTACAGTGCCGGTCACTGCTCATCGGCGCGCGCGCGCGGTGTGCAAACGGTAATGTCAATGCAGCCGTTTCGCGCGGTGCGTGAACTGCATTCCATCTGTTTTCTGCTCGGGAATAATGCACCACTTTCCGCATCACATCATATTCTCTCGCCCTACGTACTGTCTCGTATGTATCTTGCTCTGGAATACATCTTGATCCCCAGATCCACCCGCGGTTAGAGTCAAAGGGAATCCAGGTAAGCTTAGAGGCAGGCGGGGTCTTCAACCACATACCGAGAGGTTTGGAGCGCGACGCGGCAACATTGAGAAGGCTTGGGAGAATGACACCATCCTTTGCAGGGTTTCCTGCGAAACTAGAGCCCCACGGACATTCGGATTCCCCTGCGTTCAAAGGTGAAGCCCGCGTCGGAAGTTGAAGCCTGAAGCAGTCAAAGTTATTGAGCAGATAGAGTGAAAAATGCTGAGGACTTTCGGACCCTACTTACTGCACAGCAAAGGACACGACAAGTCGACGACGATGAAACATCCAGGAGATTCCTTGGTTAAACAAGCTTGGATCCTGGCCCTAGGCAGGCAGTTGATTCAATCCAGTTTCGTTGACAAGGATTTTGATGGTAATACGCCCATCAGGGCGATATAAACACATGGCAGTCCCTACGGTGTGCCACGGGCAGGTAGAACGCGTCGAAGAGGGAGTTTTGTGCTCAGTGATGGGACCCCTGAAAATTCAAAGTCCGCAATTATGTAATAAGGGAGCACTGCGATCGGACCCCCGCGGTAACTAACAGACTTCAACAAGCGAGTTCCGAGCTTGATCGTTGAAGCGTCTGTCTTTGAGAGACTAGGAAGGTGCAGGCAAACAACGCATAAGCGATGACATCACGGCCTTCTTGCCTTGCGCTCATGTCGAAGTTCACGAACACGTTCACACCTCGAGGAATGCAGTCTAGCAGTCCACCCAGGTAATAATAAAAGAGTCTCACTCTTTCGCCGGCGCCAAAAACTTCATTTACTTCTTCCCGCTGGTGGCTGGCTTTGAATTTCACTGCCGCATGACATCCGCATCTGCACCAGGTGGCAATAGCAGCGCTCGAACAAACAACAACTCGGACGTAGTACACGGCGTACACCTGCGGCCAATTTCGAGACTGTCAATACCAAATTAAATGCAGGCAACAACTCTTGGGTTCGACTCCCGGCGTCTCGAATATGGATGAGAACTCATCGATGCTTTTTAAATCTTACCTTTCATATCTGTTGCGTCTGCTGCAATTGAGATGAGTACTTAAAGCACTACTCTCGGGGTCATGCCAAAAGTGCGATTACCTTTGATTCTTCTGAATCCGTTTCCGCGCTACTAATTCAGTGCGGATTCACTAGGCATTAGCAGCAAGGGAATCCAATCTGGTGCACGGCGCACGCCTGCAGCACTGCAGGAGTCCCGGGTTCGACTCCCGGCGCTCGAATATACAGACGGATTCGGCACCTTTTTATTACGTCTGCCGCCGCAAGGGCAAGGGCATGGTATGTCAACTTTTTCGCTCATTCCCCGAACCCCTGCCAGTGGGTTAACTCACCGGGGTCGATAGTCGTAGAAATATTTCATCCCAACCCTCCCCGAGGCCAATCCATGGCCAAGTTCATCAAACTCGAGTTGGATTCTGGTTCACTGCGGCCTCAAATCAAGACCCACCACCTGGCCGAGGCTAATTCCAGGATCAAGAAATCGAATTTGGTGCGGGGCGCACGCCTGCGGAAATACGTCTGTACGAAGTATGTATCTCTGTGTAGGAGGTTCGGGTTCGACTCCCGGCGTTCGAATGGGGACTTGCCACGATGATATTTTTTATCATTGCCTTGCCGCGATAACACGTCCCCAGGTTTACTCCTTGGCATTCCTCCTACCTTCATGAAGCCTTCGTTGCGTGCGCCCAAAATTTGATTCAAGATTATCCGCCCACTCACCGAAGCCTATATACCATGGAACTCGAACGTAGTACACCTGCAGAAGTCAGGACTTCTTCGCATTTCCCCGGCAGGAGTTTCGGGCTCGACTCCCCTGTTTGAATATGGCAGCCCAAGCCTAAGGGGTTTTCTTTTTTTTTGGGGGGCCCGGGGCTCTTTGCCGCCTCAGGGTTATTGCAGGGTTGGTAGGTGTTTCGTCCCGCATAACTCACCCGATTTTCTATGGACTAGATTGGGTCACCGGGATATCAACTCAGAGCACTTCGCTGTAAAATGAAATTCAACGGACCTGTCGGTGGTGGGTTCAGAAACTACAGATCAATAACTCGAACGTAGTGTGGGGCACGCCTGCAAAAATTGTATCCATACCATTCAGTTACGCACGGTCCGGGTTCGATTCCCGGCGTTCGAATAGGCCGATGCGTCGCGACTTTTTTTGGTTCGCTATTGTGAGTCGGTAGGATGGAAAATTTATCGAGAGTTGCCAAAGTTCTTCTTCCTGCCCAACTCGCGTCGCCCTTGTCCTGATTTTCAAGGGGTTCCACAGTTGTAAGATCTCACAAAGCTCGCCTGACCCAGGTTCAGTTTTAGATGGGTTCTCGTTAGCTAAAAAGCGCCTCACTTACTCAAGAGAAAGTCAACGGTGACTCCAGAATTATGCTGCGGCAGGACTTAATTGCGGGTTCGACTCCCGGCGTTCAAATAAAGCGGTGAGATAAGACTTTTATTTTTCTTTCGCGTTGATAACATACTCATGGCTCGGTCCCTTATCTTTCTTCAGAAGAACCCGTGAAAAAACCTTCCGAGACAGGCAGAAAGATACAACTTTCAACCAACGAGGTTTTGGTTCACCGCACATTGATGGCATCACGCCGCGTTTTGGTTCTTGCTTTCATGCCTCCGCGTTCACAGGTAGAGGAGGTGAGTTACTATCCAACCAAGCGACGCGACCACTCACTGTCTCTCATGGGTCATTCAACGATGGCCAGGCTGGGTTGAAAAGAAAAACCGTTCATCTTACCATTCACACGAAATTCTTGAATCCGTAGACGTTCAAGTAAGCAAGAGAAGGAATCGGATGTAGTGCATCGTGCACGCCTGCAGAAATTGATTCCCGTCATCTGGAATTCAGCAGGAGATCCGGGTTCGATTCCCGGCGTTCGAATAAACGGGTTAGTAGTTGTTTTTTACTTTTCACCACATTGCCGGTATGTCCTCCAGAATAGAGTCTTGTCGCTGATCTTAGTCCTCAGGAGCTAGATCACGACGCAAGATCAGTCTTACGGTTACCATAGCAAAACTCAACCAACCCTGGGTTAAATTCTGTGCGGGATAGCTTAGTTCTTACCGTCCATTCGGCTGACTTACTCAGATCTCAACGACCAGATGCAACTTGACTTGATGGACTCATTCCCGGAGATGATGAGAGACCCGGAATTAAGCTACAACGAAGATAGCCATATGAATGCGGGAATCCAGATGACCGAAAGCGGAAGCGCAGGCGTTAAGATACAGTAGTATTGATAAGGGTACATGTGCAGATAGGAGGTTTAAGATTGGAGACATTGTAAGCTGCGGGCCGGGCGAGAGTTTTATGGCGATATTGTAAATGTGTCGTTGGGTATCGGGAACGGCGGTGAAGAGGGCTGAGATGTCTGTTGCGATTCTGGGGAGAGGTGAAAAATTCCAACCACATCACCACTTCCACCCCTTACCATCCCTACTAGCGGAACTGTGACTCCGCTCGCGATTCTTCCCGCCGAGTCCAAACACCCGTTTGAGCAGCGGAACCTGCTTCGGCGCAGGCTCGTACACCGGCGGTGGCACGCCATACATCGGTCTCGGGGCAGGCAAATGCGGTGAGCTCGCCTGCCTCGGTGGGGGTATCGGTGTCGGCCCATATACATATCCCGGAGGAGTCGTAGGGGGCATATGGTACATATAGCCTTTGTTGCCAGATGCATACGGGTACGTATCTGAGCGGATGGGCGGCGGCGGCGGCGCGCCGGAATAGCTGCGCATGCGCGTGCCCAGTGGGGGTGCCGGCGGTAGCGTGGCGACACTAGAGCGCGAACGATTGTGATGTGGAGATGGCAGTGGAGGAGGTGGATGGTAGCCGGGAGCATATGTATAATTCACCGGTGGTTGTACAGGCGCGAGATAAAATGGACTTGGACCGGGTAGCCCGGGTTGCTGAACGTCACCCCTCGGGGGCGCCGTGCGTGGCCGCGGGGGTCCCATGCTGCGACTACGTTCAGTGGGTAGGGGCGGCGGCGGCGAAGGAGACCGTTTCCTCGATCTAGACCTGGAGCTCTTGCGATGTTTTTCTTCCTTGTTTGGGTCGCTTGATCGCGAGCGGCGATGTTTGGACGAGTCCGGCAAAGGAACAACATTTGGACTCATGGGTGTGGCCGGGGTAAAAGGGTCCGCCGGTGGAACGCGGGTTGTATTTTGTGTCCATTTCGATATGCGAGCCTGCGTTTCATAGTGTCTAAAAGTTAAAGTACATGATGACGATGAGATTCTGTTGAAGTCAACAATGGAGCTCGACACACCGCTTGTACGCTTCTTCGCTAAAGTCATACTCGGTCATCTTTCAAGTCCCTTGCTTCGCGCTAGGATGGCGTGGATTGCGGACAAAGGCTGGATATCGTCGGCCCTGATCTCGAGGACACAAAGTGGTTCAGCGGAAAATCGGCCAAACGAGGGATTAAAGGCACGAGGAGGAGGAGGACAGGAGAAGGGGACATTGTGTAGACGCGCGATTTTTTTATACCGCCACGTGTTTGTTCCCCCGCGTTTGCTCATCCTTGGCTGATCCGCGGCAGCAATTCCCTTTTTGGACAACTCCCCTTCGATCTTCCGCTTTGGAACAGCCAACCCTTGTCCTTTTTCGTCGCTTGTGCTGTTCTGCCTTGTATTTTCAGGGGGTGGCCACACTATCCCTCTTGCGACGTATCCATCCTCAGCCCGGCGATCTTGTCCGTTAATAACTTCGACTTGACGTGGGCCGTGCCTGACATTCCGCACTGTCCGCAACCCTTTGGCAGCCCTGCAACATTTTCCCCGCTGGCGGAATCAAAATGACGCATCAAACACGATGACTCGGGGACGCGTCAGACTCATCTGTCTGCGACGCCTCACCGATTACACGCGTTCAACCAGCTGCTATCGGATCCTGCTAGCCCTTTCAGAAATCACAAGAATCCACGCCCCTTCCACGTTTTCTATCCCGTAATTTTTCCATTCCAATCAACCCCCCAAGTATCTAATCGCCGCTGATAGACAGATGAAGTTCTCGGCGGCTACTCATGTCGCCATCTTCCGTTCATTTAGGCGTTCGTTCCGAGTCATTATGGACCTTTTGGGCGACTTGTGGTGCCCCATCGTTGACTCTGATCAACCAATCAGTCATTAATGTAAGTAGGTCGGTTAAAATTTGACTCGGAGAAAAAATCTGCTCAAATGACCACGAATTAGGCGCCCGCAGGCCTCTTATGACCGTTGCGCCCGTTGCTGGTTTTCGGGTGATTGATTTTTATGCACCGAGGGAATAGCGGTAATATATAATTCGAGTTTGATGATAGTGCACATCTTGCCCGCTTCCCGGCTTTCAAATATTATAATTGTGAACACCATTTTGGCTTTTGGGCGCAGAGGCTCAGTCTGTACGCACAACAGATACAACAGGTAATGATAAAACGCAAAGTACTCAGGCTGGCGACTACCAAAGATCTTCCTCCTCCGTTCGCTCCGTTACAGTAGACAAAGAACGATGAATCGGAACGAACCCCATCGAGGCGGGGGACGGGGAGCGAGAACGAGAACGAGAACCAGAGGATGCCGTGACGGGGCTACCATGATTCCATAAGGTTGGGTTCGCAAGCTGAGAGGGGTCCAAGCCGTCCTCGAAAACTAGGTCCCCGCGTTTGATAAGCTCATGTACTTGGTTATGGAACCACGGAGATAATTCGCGGCTGTAGGTAAATAGCCGCCAGACCGTTGTGTGGAACGGTTTACCGTCGTTCTCTGAACGAAGCCGAGGGACTGCCCGCGATGTTAGGAATTCCGAGAGCACCTCGTCGGTGAAAGTGCGGAGGGAGGTGCATGTGAAGGAATGGAGGCGAGGGATAAGACAATCCTCGTCGCTAATCCAAGCGAGACGCCGGAGTAGGTGATCCGTCACCAAGGGCGGAGTCCCATAGCCCACGGAGTCCGCAATAGTGAGGTGTTGCAATAGCGGCAATACCACGAGACACTGCAGTAGTTCATCCTCCGAGATTATAATCCGCAGGTCAAGCTGGATGAGATTCGTGTGCAGCGATGACCGAGAGGCGAAGTCGAAGAACGAAGTAGGGCTCCAGACTGGGGAGAGGGTGTACCATTCGTGATGCAGCGTCAAAGACTGCAGCCGTGGTAATGTTATCGCCCCGAAGATTTCGCCGAGTACCCCGTTTATCTGTTCGTGAAACGGCTGGATGTACAGAGCGAGTGAGAAGGACCCCACGTCTGACACGATTTGGGGCGAGTCGGGGAAGAGGACATCGACTTTGGAGGTGTCGAGAACAGCGGAGAATTTGGCGCCGGGAGGGAGGCGACACATGAGGGACAGAGGACCGGAAAGCTCCAGCACACCGCCGAGGTCCCGATACTGAAAGGATTGGAGACCCTCCCAACGAACGGTAGGAATTCTGGAGACTTCCCCTTTGAATGTGAAGCTTCTTAAACCCGCCGCGCGCTCAAAGAAGTCGAGCTCGATCTCGAATTCCCCGACGTCTGAGATGGATAGCGAGTCCAAGAGGGGGAGATCTGGGGTCACGCTGGTGAGGAACGCGAAGGATTCGAGCTCGCCCGAGAAGTGGAGATGGCGCCACCGCGGGGCGTGCTTGACGAGCGTCTTGACGATATTGATGTCGTACGGGTCGTCGCGCTGCAGATCAACTTGCAGCGTCAACGGTACGTTCCCTCCGCGTTGCAAAGACGAGTCGAGCCGAGCAAGCAAGGTTCTGGAAGTCAACCCCGAGCTCCTCCACAATTTCACGTCCAAATCTAGGTGCGACCATAAACTGGGGGTACCCACGGCAATGCGCCGCCAGTACGAGCACACCTGCACGGAATTATTAATGTCTTGCGAGATATCTCTAGCAGAACGACCGCACCTGCGATACTGGGAGCAAATTGAGGTCCGCTGCGCTTGGATGGCCGCACAAATCAAATATCTCGATCAAGAGCTCGGGGGGCAGTCGCCGTATGGGGGCGACGATGCTCTTGTACCGATCCACGTGCCGGGCAAGCGACCCGCGCTGGAAAAGCAGCTGGTCCAGAATCGTCTCGATGCGGCCCACCTCCACATCGTATCGCGCGAGCTCAAGTCCTCCTTCGTCGGCCAAGCCTCGAAAGTGGGCCACTTCAGAGCTGTTAGCCGGCGCGTTGTTGGTGCGTAGCATCTCCAGAACTCGTGGTTCATCGGCGAGGAGATGCGATATTCGGAATGGAGGACATTTGTAGATTGAGTCGAAGGATATGTCTGCACTCATGGCGGCGCGCTTGGCAGCTTGGGTCGACGAGAGGCAGGCGCAAGCGTCAAGCGTCTAAGCGGGCACTGTTCGAATTCCGCCGCTCGCCCCTGTCCCGATTTGGTGATTCGATGTCGGCAGTCTCGGCGAATTTTGTTGTCGGCAAGTCAGGCCATATCTTGAACCCCGGCGGCGCACACGAGGAAGCTTCATTTTTGCCAACCCATCAGTCTCGTCGCTGAAAGGTAATGAAATGTTTGTGGCTAGCAAATTTCGTTTGAGGTCATCTATTTTTTTCGGTCACTCGTTCGACTCCGTAAGCCCCCTTCACGTGCATAAAAATATTTACCTTGCGCTCCACATAGCAGGCCCGGCGTTGAGCGCGACCTCACACAGTATGCCCTGCCGCAGGAGATCGACGGGGTTCTCCCCCGGGCTTTAGTAATCATTTGACCTCAGAGCAGGGGAAAAATAACAAAAGGGGCGAATTCAACGAGTGGACATGCCACCAGACGGAAGGAGGGGGGTCTGAGTGAACACCATTAATATTCTGCCTCGCACTACGTCCTGAGGCAAAAGCTTTCAGACTTTCTTTACGTGGGGTCTCGGGCCGTGTTCACTATCATTGATCTTAAACCGATCCGCAAGT